TGGAAGCATTGTCTGGTTTTCCAACTAGTAAACAGATAAGAATTCAAATGAAATTCCTGCGTTCTAAAGAACTAGGTTGTGCAGTAGCCATTTACATGCATACAAAATGTAATTCTGATCCTCTGTTGTTTTTTGGCATTAATATTACCATATTCATTGAGACTGAAACAGATCTGCTGCTTCTAAGAGCCACTGATTTTGACAATTATCTAAAATCAGATTATAATGGCAATCTTAGGAATTTTGATTAACCTCTAAATAAATGTTACATTGGAAAAACCCTGTCAAATGCATTAATGATAAGTTGGGAAGTAGTAGTAATTGCAGACATGGCATTATAGATAACAGCTAATTGATACCACCCTCTCAAATATGTACAGCACATCAGCTGCCATGAAGCTGGAATGATTATAGTAGTATTTACAACAGTTTAAAAACATTAGATAAGATGTAAAATGAAAACATAGGGTGCTTGGTACAATCATCTCACTTTTTGATTTGTGACTTTGGACAAATACATTTTTAGTATTGATTGACCATTAACACTTCTATTTTTTTGAGGAGGTAAGTATATATTGGTTTGTTCTAATTAGATTCCAGGGGAATGTCATATGGATGAAGACTATAGTTAACTAAAGAGAGATAGGTTGCCCTTAGCCCCTGCAACTCAGAGCTTGTTCTTTGGATGGCATTTAGATGACATTGCTATGTTTTGGGATTACTTAGTTTTGAGTGTTATTATCTGGTAATGCAGTACTAGTCAATCTTTCTTTCTTGCTTTTTTTTTTTCTTTTTTTTCCTTCTCTTTTCTTTCCTCCTTCTGTTTTGTAGTTGAGAATTAGCAAGAGAAATCTGGAATCACCCGGGTTGGAAGGGACCTCAAGGATCATGTAGTTCCAACCCCCCTGCCTAGCAGGGCCACCAAACACACATTCAGATCAGGTTGCCCAGGACCCCGTCCAACCTGGCCTTGAACACGTCCAAGGACGGGGCATCCACAACCTCCCTGGGCAGCCCGTTCCAGGGCCTAACCACTCTCCTTGTAAAGAACTTCCCCCTAACATCCAACCTAAATCTTTCCTCCTTCAACTTGGATCCATTTCCCCTAGTCCTGCTGTTATCAGCCCTTTTGAAGAGTTTACTCCCCTCCTGGGTGTAGGTTCCCTTCAGGTATTGATAGGCTGCAATGAGGTCACCCCGCAGCCTTCTCTTCTCCAGGCTGAACAAGCCCAACTCCCTCAGCCTGTCCTCATAGGGGAGGTGCTCCAGCCCTCTGATCATCTTAGTCGCCCTCCTCTGGACCCTTTCCAAAATCTCAATGTCTTCCCTTCCATTAGAATATGGCTTCTTCCTTCATACCAAATACGTATTAATATAAGGAAATGATCTGAGGAGTTCAGCTGAGGCTTGCGATAACTGATTATAAAAGAAGCTTTTCTCCCAGTGTCATGGAAAAGACTGTTATTGTTTTTAGCTCATTACATCTCCAACTCTGAATAGCTTTGCTGTTTCACAGGAGCAATCTTAACGGTTAATAACTTTAGCAGAGATCTGTGTAATACTCCTATTTGCATTTTGTGAGGAGAAAAAGAAGTGAGGAAGAAATAAAGCAGATGCTCCAAGTAAAACGTACATGAAAAGAGGCGAATTTAGCATGAGCTCAACATTAAGAGTGACAGCCCCACTAGCACACATCTATAGTTTGGGCATGCCAGCTCGTATTTCCTTGGAGATACCTTTGTTTCCCAGAGAAACCTTTGTTTTCCAGCACTTGCAAGGAGAGAGCAGAGAAACTCACCTAGCAGTTTTTCTGAGCAGACAAGCTCTTGCTTATGTCAGGGACCTGCTGTTTCAAAGTGAGGAGACAAGCCAGGAGTGGAAGGTGACCTCAGTACTGGCTCTCATCAACTAGGGCATGGTTCTGCAGTACCCAGTTAAAGCAGGCAGAGCAGGGGCTGTAACGGAGTCCCTGTGGAGTGATCAGTCAGGTCTACCCAGTGAATACAATCAAGAGCAGTAGGATATATGGCCAGAAATAGAGCTGGAGATAGAGCATGGCTCACTGTTCCAGCCAGGAACAAAACTGCAGCATGCAACAGAAGGGGAGTGGGATGGTCATCCAACTCACATCTACAACATCTACTCACAGCAAAGATCTACCATCCATCCGAAAGACATAAGCAGGATTTGAGACCACTACACTATTTTGGAGGCAGTGGTACAGGAATGGTATATGTTTGTTAAAGAAGACTCACTCACTTCATATTGTTTCATATATATTTGCAACTCTTACCTGTCAGTAAGTTATGACAAAATTAGATGCCTGTTGATGATATAGCACAGCTATATATATGTATATATATATATACATATATATATATATTGCACAGCTCTGTGAAGCCAGAGAGAGCTTTATCAACAACATGTAGGCATTGGCAAGATGAAAAACTGAGATGTGCAGAGGACAGCCAGCACCAGCTATTCCATCATTTCCCAGCACATGAGTTGAGGTGAAAAAAACAATTTTGGAGGGAATTTTTGGCTGTAACACTGAGATGATCATCATGCCTGAAGTGGACATCCTGTTTCTAGCTGACAGTTGTTTTTTTTTTTTTTTTTTTGCCTTACTTGATGTAACTCCTAGTATAGAGCAATGAGGGGCATTAGGGTGAGAGGAAAGTCATCAAATACAAATTTGGTCAGCTCCCATGGTTAGGATATATCTACTCCTGATCTGTGTGATTTGGAGAGGATAGAGTGACAGTTTTGACCCACGTGGTTGTACAAATGCAAACCTGAAGCTCCCAAAGAAATAAAACCATAGCTATGGGGGCTTCAGTGCTCCATTCTCTGTCCCTGAAATCACAGGTTATAAAATATAATACCAAGCCATTAGATCAAATTCTGACCATGTAGTTAGTAGCTGTCATCCTTTTAAAAAGTAATAGTAGCAGTAGTGAACGTGGCATCATTGTGGTAAGAATAAAATATCACTATTTGCCCACTAATGTAGTTAGAATTGTGAAAATGAACCCAACTCCTGTGTTTTCATTAAGCTGTCTTGAATGAATTTTTACTATATATATATGTATACAAGAAGTTCTTAATCTCATGTATATATGTATATGTACGTACTGTGATAGATTTCTTCAAATTAAATCCTGCTTCTGGAGGGGAGGATGGAAAAAAAAAAGTAATAGAAAAGACAAAATCTTCAACTGAAAGTGGAGCTGTTTTGGGACCATTAATGTATTCTTACTACTTTTATCAATTATTTGAATTTGTTTTCTGGTATTCAAGCTGGCATGAAGGACAACTTTACAGTGAACATATAGTCTTCAGTCCTAGATATGAAGACTAATTTATTGTTATTATTTTTTTAGTTATCAGATATTCTTAGAGACAGTTGTCCAAGGTTTCATTCCCTGACTTCTTCCTAAAGCTATGGCTCCATAAATCAGACCTGGAGCGTACCTGCTTATACAGCTGTGCCAGGTGAATAGTACTAGAACTTCACCTAGTCAAGGGAAGGGATGTTCTGTGGCAGCTTCCTCTCTCATTCCCAGCTTCTTTCTTGAGGCAGAGAAGTAAGAATCTGTGTCCTAATGCAGGAAACAAGACAATGCCACTGACTGATCTGTGGTGATTTTCATAGCTGGTTGAGAAGTAAACCTCAAGGAAATTTGGGGAAAGGAGACAGCCTCTCATTTCTTTATGTTTGAATGCAAGATTATTAACAGGAAACATTATATACAATTCCATCTATATTTTCCAAGTCATTTTCCACGCACCAATCCTCAGCCAGAACAACTGGCATCGTTCCCATTAAACAGACACTAATTTACAGCAGCTGAGGTCCTGGATCTTATTTAACTTTCGTATTCATATACTATAGTCTGGGAAACGTCAATAAAGCATGCAGGTTTTGAAATGCATAAGATACGTGACCACAACATAACTATTTTACATATGGGCTTGAATAGAACTGTTACTTATGCCTGACATATTATGATGTGCTTTATTTAAGGCTCTATCTCATTCTGTAAGTCTCTTTCTGCTACCTACATTCTGCTACAGTTTTCTCTTGAAAAAGAGATTGAGGATTCAGACACTGCTTCAAGTAAATTAGGGAAATGGAAGTCTTTACCAAAACAATGTGATGAATTCTTCCTTGTGCAGCATTGTATTGCACATTGCCTCATATTGATTTTATGCCAGACTTAATATTCTGTTTTTGGTGGATGCAGCCTTGGTACCAAGGATATAATCACACAGAATCACAGAATCACCCGGGTTGGAAGGGACCTCAAGGATCATGTAGTTCCAACCCCCCTGCCTAGCAGGGCCACCAAACGTACACATTCAGATCAGGTTGCCCAGGACCCCGTCCAACCTGGCCTTGAACACGTCCAAGGACGGGGCATCCACAACCTCCCTGGGCAGCCCGTTCCAGGGCCTAACCACTCTCCTTGTAAAGAACTTCCCCCTAACATCCAACCTCAATCTTCCCTCCTTCAACTTGGATCCGTAATATTGGTATATAATATTGGTATTAAGAGATGTGAGCAGTAAATGAGTTGAGGAGCAGGTATAGGGAATAAGTTGGGAAGCTAGTATGGGGAAACTAGAGTTATTTGATATGGAAAGAGTAGAAATTGGTCTGCGAAGCAGAGGTTAGGATAACAAGCAGCTGTGAAATACTTAGCATCACTGACCGCTTAAATAATGTCTGTCAAGTTTTCTACTTTAATTACCAATTAGAATAGAGGGAATAATTTTTGCATATTAGAGCCATTGTGTTAGGCTGCCCGCACACTTGGGCATGCATCTCTGACTTTATTTTCAGTTAACATCTGGAAGATTTTCTGTGCCACTAAATGAAAAAAAAAAAAAAAAGAAAAAATAAAAAAAGGAAAAAACCCTCAACGCAAAAAAAAAAACCCAACCAACCAAACAAAAAAAACCAAAACAAACAAAAAAACCCACAAAAAACAAAAAACCCAACAAAACTACCACCCTATTTTAATTTTAAAAATGACAGTCTGCATCCTGCAGTGTGTGTCTGCAGCAGTGGGTGGATTCTCTGGCAAATTTAATAGCCACAGAATCACACAGAGCCCTGACTATTACCAAATGGTGTGTGATAAACAAATGCAGAAACTTATTTTACTAAAATATTCTCTTCATTTAGTACTTAAATACACTAGCAGTGGCCTTTTGAAAAGCCTTGGGTCATGGAGCAACAATTGCTGTTGGAGTCTCTGGGCTGCTTCATTGTTTATTTAACTTGACAGCAAGCTAGCTACAGTTTCACAATTTAGATCATTTATTTTTATGGTCAAAATGTTTGTACAGTAGCAAAACAGCTTAGTGTATCTCTGCAATGAAAGAGTGCCCCATTCTGCAGCTGCTCTGCCTTTCTTTAGTTGAGGCTTCGTGCAGAGTGGGTGCTTCAGAAACTTGGCAAACTGTTAGATCAGCCATGCGCTAGCCTGCACTGCTTTCCCTGATGTGTGAGTATGCTGTGCCCACAACAAGAATACCTTGGGAAGCTCATCCCAGAATTGCTCACTAACATATCAGGTAAACCTTGGGGGGAAAAAGAGATTCTGCAATTTCCCTTGAATGAGAGAGCACACAGATACAAAAGTACAATTTAAGAGCTTCCTCAACAGTGCTATTAATGTGCCAGTGATGTTAATTTTTGTGTTATATAGGAATGTTTCATTGAACGTAAGGAAAACCAGCAAGTAATGACATTTTATACCAACAGGTGCTTGGGGTGGTCAGTGATGGATCCTCTTGGAATCTTCAGTGGCCTTTAGTGTTGCCTGTGAATATTCATTCGCTGCATCTGAGTCCAGTAGATAATGTATCTTAAGAAAAAATAAGATCTCCATCTGCTTCCTCTCGTACACTTCCACCAAAGTGCTAGGAGAGCATAAGGAAAAGTACAGAAAAAAGAGGACTTTTTCTTGCAGATCTCCTGTTTTATCCACAGCATGAGATTCTGTGACCTAGGGCAGTAGCACGGAGTTGAAGACAGGAGGTTTTTGTGAGGACCCAGAATCTGAGCAACATCTAGACAGGACACCTAGAAAGAGGAAACCTTGGTGAGTACAAGTCTTTTGATGTCTTTGGGGATTTTCAGTGGCAAGAGCTGAAGCCAGCAGCCAGTATTTGGCTCACCGGGCTTTCTGTAGATGTGAGCACCACCTACGCCAGTGGCAAACGATGGTCCCTCATATTGTTCATAAGAAGAAAGTGAGGCTTTGGTGCCATGAATCCACCCACGGAGAAGGTGAGTGAATTATGGATGTTGTTATATATCTATAGAAATATCTTCAGTTATTTGTATGAATTTTTCTCACTTCTTCTATGCCCCACAGAGTCCCACTACTGCAGGAGGACTATAGCACAGGCAGAAGTACCAGCTTGGCCCCAGGTAACTTCTCCCATTCCCAGAAGAAATTCACTCCTTCCTGGGCTATGCACGTGCATCAAAGCAGGTTCTGAACTATTTTTCAGTTTCCACTGAATGCTATTTTATCCTCTGAGAGCTCTGTAAGATTGGCATTATCCTGTAGCAGTATCACAGCCTGCAGTCATTTAATGCCTCTTCTTGTGAGGCCGGGATTCCACGCCCAAGTGCATTTAGTAGGTCAGTACAGTAATTTTAAATGTCTTTCTTTCAGTCTTTTGCCATCTTCAATTATACCTTTCCACCCTACTATTTGTGTAATTTTCTTCTGTCTGAAGTCTCTTTACTGTTGTTCTGTATTGCACAGCGTGACAAATTACCCATCAAGCCGTATCTTTTCAGCCCAGAAATGCGCAGTAACACAGAGTCATGGCATTATCACATGTTGTGCACTTTATTTCCTCACAGTTCATTCAAGTGTGTCACTTTATTTTCCGGCTTCCTTTTGTCATCATGAAGATTAACCATTTTATTTTTCCTAAACTTCAGAAAGAATTAGAAATGCATTATATTGTAAGCCCAGAGCAACACCTACACAATCCCATACAACCCGTCCTTGGCAAAATTATTTTCTGCAACTCTGAGCCTTGCAGAAGCTGGGGCTTTCATTGTTATTATACAGCTGAGTAACCCTGGCCATGGGTAAGAGAATTATTTGTAGCCCCTGGCCACCAACCAAATTAATTGTGAGACACCATTCACTTTGACAGTGCACTCCAGCTCCTTCTGGGAGCTATGAAACTCTCCGGGCCTCATGTATTCTGTGCCCAGAGTCCTTCTCTCCCTCCCTCTCTCTTTAATTCAAGATAAATACCAGTAATTGTACAGCTTTTGCTGAGTTATCTCCCAGGCATTGCAAGGATGTGCTAGAAAAATCAATTGTAATTGCTCAGATAGTCAGCAGGGCTGCAGCTGGTGTATAAAAGGCATCCTTAGAAAATGTGATTTAAGATGATCTAGGGAAAGTTTGTTATTAGAGGATTGTTTAAGGGCCCAAGTAGGTCTTTCAACATTAATGTCTGAAGAGACCCACAGAAGTAAATTCAAACCTTTCTCCAAAATGTACCTGAGATGTGAGATGGGATTTGTTCAAGCAAATGTGCCCAGTTCTCCTTTATAATTCATTTCATAATTCATCAGTATGAATGGGTAGGTGGGAAAAATAGCACTTCTGTAAAACAGACCAGAGGGATTAAGAATTAGCTAAATCTGTGCAGTTAAATTTGGTTGGTGAAAACATAATTGACATTCAGATTAACAAAATGTTGACTGTTCAGTACTATTGCATTTTATAGTTTTGCAAAATGCTGATGCCTAGGAAGGAATAAGAGCAGAATATGATAAACTGAAAGTGTTGTGGTGCCAAGGATACCAGGAGTCACTTGCAATGTTAGTGGTCCCATAACATGAAATATGTCAGATGCTGGTTGACAGAGCTAGGATGTGCTGAAGAAGCTGAGCATGAGCAATAGGAAGTACACATGTAAATGAGGCACCAATCCTAAGTCTGGGCTTATCTAATTTTCAGCACTATTTCTGTTCCAGGCTCTGAAGAATTTTACCATGTTTATTTTGCTTTTTACCTGCTTCACAATTGCACTGAGCCTTTCATGTTAGCTGATATAAAAAAAATGAAAGAAATCTTTTGTATCACTTGACACACAATGTAATTCTAATTCTTTTTTTCAAACATATTTACAGGCACAATGGCAACATTAGTATGTGCTAGTAAGAAAAAATGCATGACATTTTTGTAAGAAGCCTGACTTTCAAATGGAAAAATAAAACTTATACATGAGTTTTTGAAACTTCATGTGAAAACTCTCAAAATTGTTTTACGTGGACTAAAAATTCTGACTATTGCAGCTCATTTACTTTGTAATGTTCCCTAATTAATTTGCTTTGGAGTGTCAAGCAGGAGCTGGTAATAGAAAATCCATCTCCCCCTTAAAGAAAATTGCTACTGCAGCTGATAAACAGAATTATACAAGCTTTGTCACACAAATCACATTATAAGAGGTTCCAAAAAACTTGACAATGTTGACAGTTGTTTTCAGCAAATGGCTGCTTTACTGTAGCACTGTCAATGTTGATGTCCTTGTGCACATGTAAAAGAGCAATGTGATTAAGGCAAGCTTGTCCATGCTAGATATGAGCCAAGTTTTCAATCTCCTCATGGCACTGAAAGATTGCTCAGCTGTTGCAGATAAGGCAAGAATAGCTAGCAGATTTCTGCCATTTAAATAAATAAATAAATAAATCCTTGTCTTTGGGCATGCATCTATACAAATTTGTAACATCTGCTACTGACCTCATGTTCCAGATAAGAAGAGCTCATATTTGTAACTCTAATTGATATTACTCAGTTTAGATGATGTACTTCCAAGGAGATTACAGAAGTATCTTTTTTAAGCACAGATTTATCTAGACAGCAGTCTAAAGTATGATACACTTTTGTGAAGTGGTGAATTATCATCACTCTTCTCATGTCAGTTACCACTGCAGTTTACATCCACCTTATGTTGAATATAATTTGCACAAATAATTTACATTGCCTTTTGCTCTGAGACCATTTCATCTTTATCTATGACAGGCGATGCTTGTGCCCTACCTAGAACATCAGTCATCTTTGCAATATTTTTTCTTTGTATCAACTAGATGAAAGGAGTGGAAAACTCAGTTCTGTAGCCAAAACCTTGTCAAGAAATGGGCCTGAGTTAACACAGCCATATCCTCCATCCTATTGACCCTGAATTCTTTATGCAAGATGTCAAAGCCGTGGGACTCAGCAGATTTGTTGTCATGTCTGGGTGTGGAAATAATGGGAAGAAGCCAGTTTCAACAACATAATCTTAAAACAAACCCATGGGGATTTTCTCATATAAATTAGCGTAGACTTTGTTAGTCTAAACATACTCAAATTTCCACTTTGTATCTATTAAAAACTCTTCTGAAAGGTCTGGATTTCTGACAAGAGCTCAGAGGAGAGGGGGGAGTAGATGTCAGGTTGGATCAAGGTGACCAGCTACATGTTCTCCAAACCTGCACTGTGATACTGCACATCTTGGAATGGTAGGGTTGAGTCTAAAGTTCCATGATAGCATAAGAAAAATCAGCGAACTCAAGTTATCTATTAATGTCTTTTTCTGACAAGCTTGTACAGTGGTGGAGTGTGGTACTACACAGCAGAGATTTCATAGTCTTCAGTTACGAAAACATCCTTACTCTTCATGTAGCCCAGCTTGTTCTCTTTTCTCAACCAAATTCTTAAACAAGTATATTGGATTAAAGTCCACTTCATTGGGCAACTAAAATTCAGAAAAAGAGGTTTATGATAATGTATTTGAAGAGCATGATGTAGTATCTAAAAACAAAGGGGAAGGAGAAGATTTAAGGATGCAGTGTTAACTCTTATTCTGACATCTCTCTGCATTTTAAGGATAGATGTAACATACACATCTTAATAAAAAAGAATTTTATTCTGGGAAATCTTGGATAGCCCTTTTCTATGGGCAGAGCAACCTATGCCATGTGTAATTAGTACGACTAAAATAAAATTCTTGGCATGTAGTAAAAAAAAAACATCTATTATAGAATCAAAGTGTAATGAACAGCTTTGCTTTTAAATAAAGCCACTATTTTACATTTTATGTCATTACGGTAAAATGGTGCTACAATAAAAGCTACACCTCAGGAAGACATCCTCATTTTGATGTCACCTGTGAAGCTCAGTGCACCTTCTTCCTAACACAGCCTCAGATAAGGACTTGTATACTGGTTCTCTGAACTCATGGAGTAACCCTGTGTCATGGAGTTATCCAGATCAATCTGTACCTGTGAGAGGGGATAGCAGACCCATGGGCCCTCTGGCGCAAAAATGGGAAGGGAAAAAGGGAAGGGTAGAGAGCTGGGCCCAAAAACAGAAAACAGCAGCAATCATCTAAAAAGGAAAACTTAATTTTACTAAATATGATATCAGAATGAAAAATAACACAATATCATACAATATAATACAATATAATTGAAATTAAGGCTAATAAATCAAATAAAATGAGAGAGCGAGTGTCCGAAACTGAAAAGGCCTACTTTGAACTGAATGCACACGGTTGGGGAGCACATCCACACACTGCCAGGCAGTGAGCAAAAGAGAGCCAGAGAGCGAGATCCTGTGACTTCCTCTCATGGCTTATCTTCCTCTCTGAACATGAGGTCCCCTGGCACATGTAGTTCTTCTCTTCTGAGAACCAGGTATCTGGAAAGTTATCACTCCATGGAACTGGAGTATTAACTCTTCAATTACCTGTGCTTTATGTGATGTTATCATCTGGAATAACAAAATTATAAAACCATGCTACCCTATGACTCATGTTCTGTCATTCTCAGACTCTCTGGCTGGAAACCTAAATCTCATAAATGCAAGGCTCCAATTATCAGCTAGTAAATCTTCGTACCTACTGGTTGTTCTTTAAGGTCAATTAGATTGAATAACTTTTCAATTTCTCCATATTATGAAGGGAAATCTTTCATGCAGAATTGATGAAGCAGGAATGCTTCTTGCTGTAGTGATCTTTTCTCTGCTCCAGTACAGCTGCATGCATGAGCAGCCTGACTTTGCTTTGAGAACCTTAAGCTGCATTCTTCAGAACAGTTGCTCGGTGTTGGTCAGATTTCTCTGCAGCCTTCTTTTCCATTTAGAGCTACTGAGGCTGACACATAGTTTCCAAGAACTTAAGCATGTCTTGTGTCTCCTGAATCCCAAATATTTCTCGAGTGCCTAGCAGAAGAATATCCAGATAATCTTTAGACTGGTAATACAAGCTGGGAGAAGAAAGTCAGACAGCCCTGAAAATACAATGTAATTATTTTGTTTTATGTTAACTTGTGTCTTTGTTACATGTATGCTGCCATTGTTACGCTTAGAGCACTCTCTAGATTTGAAGAGGCTATAAAATCCTACTAATTCT